CCTCTCTCTCTCACTTGACTTTCCCTCCTGCGGCTATCTCAGGAACTCTTGTCACCCGGGTGCCACTGCCCCAGTACATCGGATCTCCTGTGAAACTTTGTAAAGGCTGTGATGTCCAGGTGGAACCTTAAAAGTGCTGCTTCAGCAGCTGCTCAGCTAAGGTGGATGCCCAACCAGAATGAGACCCCGTGATGTGGGGTGGGACACCCCTCCCCCTCTCCTGTGCTGGGGAGGGGCTCCTGGTCCTGTTAAAATGCAGATAAAATGCAGATTCTGACTCAGCAAGTGTGCGGTGGACCAGAGAGTCTCCATCTAACAAGCTCTCAAGGGAGGTGGATCTTACTGGCCTGTGGAGCACACTTGTCCTCTGTCCTGACTGTATGAGGGGAAAAGACCCTTCCCTCCCTGAGACATCCTCAGGCACTTGGTGGCCTCCTTCCATGCTGACACCAATGCCTTCCTGTGTGTAAGGAACCTGCTCCTACTGCAAGTGTCACACAGGTGACAGGCGTCTGCTGTGTGGTTTCCCTCACCCATTTAATGAGTGTTTACTGAGCCTCTGTGATGTGTCAGGCCCTGGGCTGGGCCCTGGGAGCCCCACAGAGAACGGACGGGACATATGTGGGCCCTGCGCTCGTGGAGTTCACCTTGAGACAGGTTCTCAGAGAAATCACAGCATGAAGAAGCTAATTATAATCCAGAGACGGGCAGGGAAGGAAAATTTCTGGTGTGTCCAGAGCGTGTACTCGAGTCTCAGCTGGTCTGGGGGTCACAGAGAGCCCTTCTGAGAAAGTGACCTCTTGGCTGAGACCTGAATCCTGAGTGGCCCGTCGCCCCTTGAGGGACAGAGGGTGGGGGGAAGAGCTGCCTGCAGGGGACTGGTCTTTGGTGGGCAGATGCCTGGCTGGACGGAGGAGCTCACAGAGCCCAGGGTGGGCAGCGTGGAGGGCGAGAGGGGCTGCGGGCTGAGCGATGCTGGTGGGGCTGGACCCTGCTGGGCTGTGGGTGCTGCTGAGGGGGGTCAGCAGCCCCCGGGGAGGCCCCAGGCTGTCGAGTAGCCGTGCTGCCACCGCGTCTACCTAGAGCTAAACACTTCCACCGCCTCAAACCCGCCCCCATTGAGAGGTTGCCCCCTCCCCACCCCAGCCCTGGAAACTACCCATCTGGGTTCTGCCTCTTTCTGCCCCTTATCTCCTGCCCCACATACCCTGCCAGCTGTACACCTGGTGCCCCGTTCGTCCCCGTATGAAAGCACTAGTCTCAGTCCTTAAGACCGTACGCTTTGTCCCAGCGCTGACTCACCCTCACACCCAGCCGAGTCTGGGAGAGTGGCAGCCCCAGTTCACTGCATCAGATCCAGGGGCTCCTCCTTCAACAGGTAGGATGGCCCTTCTCTCCCATTTCTCAGCCCCATCCTGAGCCACCCAAAATCAGACCTCTTGCACGACACCACTAGGTCCCCTTGAACCCATATAATGCCTAACACCTCGCCAAACCCCAGGCTTTACAATTTCTCATCCTGACTCTGAGCACACCCCAGCCCTCCACGGCCCCCCCTGTGCCCACCTCTGCTTACCCACAATCCACCTCTGGCCAGGTCTCCAAGGATTTCAGCCAAACGCCCCAGAGGCCGCAAGGAGCAGGACAGGACACAGAACCAGAGGAGAGACTTATCTCCCACTTCCCAGGTTCTGGTTGTGGACTCGTTAAAAACAGGCACGTGGAGTTTGTAAAAACAAAGAAATCAACGAATGAGGACACTGCTGTCTGCCCTGAGCTCCAGGTCCTAGAGGCCCCAAAACAGGGTTAGTTGTTCACTGCAGACCAGTGGTGGCTGATGTGACAGGGACCTGCCTGTTTACTGGAGTTGTTGAGTTTCATGACAGAATATCTTTTTTTCCTTGTATGCTGTGATTTTGAAAATAAAATAAAATAAAACATTAACAGATAGGTATCAGATACTAAGTAGAATATCTGGATAGCAAACGTCAGTATATTTGTTTTCTGTTTTAAAATGTAAATACCTGCTTTTCCTTTTCACATTTGGCTCCAGCATATTTGGTGCAGATTCTTTTGAAATCTCTGTGATCCTGTTCCTTGAAGTTGCTGGGAAAAAGGATGTGGAATGAGAGCACTGTTGTTAGGCTGCTACTGACGTGCGCCCTTTCATGCCTGCAGGTCTTCTCAGATTCTAGGAAAAGGCCATCCCTGGGCAACCTGGGGCCCCAGAAGGATCTGGGCAGTCAGGTCATCTCCTGCTGTGGACAACAAGTCAGAAGCGAGGGAGGGAAACTAGAAACATTTATTTGGAGGATTGTAGTCAGATAAGGAAAGAAATTGGAAGATTAGGAAATATAGTGAGGATGGACGCTGTGAGCTAGGTGACAGGATCAGCTTATTACAGGTGGTTTTTAAGGAGACTTATGTATATTTCAAAGGTGCAGAGAAAACATCTGCAATTACAAATTGCAATTACATTTCTAAAAGAAATGCTCTAAAATAATTAAGGTAAGAGACCTGTAGTCAGGAAGAACCTGTGTAAAAATAAGTGATTCTGAGGAAACATTAAGGCCTCTAGATCATAACAAAGCTGCTTTCTGCACAGTGGAGGGAAACACAACTAAATCCTTTTAGCCAGGACCCAGTTTGCATCTCCATCAGTTCCTGCAGTTTATAAAGAGATGCAAGTTCCCAGCAACTTATAAACAGGTGCAAAATAGCTGAGAGGCCCTGAACAGAGCCGCACCTGATCTCCCAGAAGGCTGTGCTTCTGGAGTTTTCCATGGAGACATCACATTTCTCTCCACAGTCGCCTTCCCTTTGATCAAACATCACCTCCAAGGAAGAAGGGTGTTCTTGATCCTACAACATGGCTGGTGTCACTGGATTTGACAGATTGGTGACCTGAGTGCAGAGGAACTGACATTCACCAAAGAGTTTGCTCTGACACAGGTTTTTCTACTCGGATGGGCGTTTTAACAGCCTCTCCAGGTTAGGAAGCCTCCCCCTCACACCTCACCCGCAGGCTCTGTAGCTTTGGGTGATGACCTTTTCTCCAAGAGATTCCAAAAGACCCATCAGGTCAAATTTAGCTTCAAAAAAGGTGAGGTCATTTCTAATTCTGAGGGCATCAATCTGAACTAGGACATTTGTCAAAGCCTTGATTGCACTACCAATGTTTCCAATTAAATCCTATTAACAAGAAGGACAGGGTGGTACTGAACTTATGCAAATAAGTCTATTGCCATAAACATAAGAATACTGAAGAGGGCTTTAGAATTTTTTGGAAAAAATCTAAGATCAGTGTTGCTACCAACATGGATGCCCTCCTGTCCACCCCCACTGTCCACAACAGTGTCCAGGCGCCCTCCACACATTTGCCTGGAGGAGGGTCAGAGCTCAGATTTCAACAACCTCCTCACGTGCTCCCACCGGCCATCACATGACCACTGCCCTTCCTGTGAGGGACTTGGTGTCACCTCTACTGTAGAGTTGTTGCAAATGGGATCCGCCAGAGGTGGGATCCGTTGTGGGATGTGAGCTTAAGTCAACAATAATGACATCATCTCACATTTTTGAGCATTTATTGGCTCAAATAAATTTGACAGGTCACCAATCTGTCAAATCCAGTGACCAGTCAAGAAGAAAGCAGAACAAGTCGGCTAAACTGTGAGCTGAGGGGCCCAGGGGTGACGCTGGCTCAGCCACAGCCTGACTTAGAGGCCTTGGCAAGCTTCTCCCCACCTGCCAGTGTCTGGATCCTCTGCTGCAGGAGAACGAGGAACTGTTGCCGTTGCTGCAGTCAATGAAGAGAGAGCAGAACAGAGAGACAGCGGCCTGGCAGTGCGGGGCGAAGGCCTAAGAGCTCGTCACTATGGCACCCTGCGGCAGCGACGTCAGGTAGTGTTTAGCATCGTCAGTATTTCTGTTATGAAGCTGGTATTCCTAGAAACTCACAGAAGATCCCCACACAGAGGAAGTGGTTAGGAGCTGGCCCCTCGTGTCAAGTCTGTCCCCAGCTCTGGAGAGGGTGTGCTTCGTCCTGCCCAGATGCCCTTGGCAAGTTGGCGTGGACTGACACCACCTCCTAGATGTCCCTTCTCTGGAGAGTCGCTCTGGGCCAGCCCAGCCAGGCCACTAACCACCCCCCGCCCCCCTCTGCTCCCGGGAAGACCTTGGCCAATGGCTGGCTGGAACGCAGGGGCAGAAGCGGGCGCTCTTGCATTGGCAGGTCCAACTCTGCAGGGCAATGCGAGGGATCGAACTGAAGTGTGATTCCAGCCAAGACCTCTCCGTGAGAGCCCCTGCCCTCCCCGCCTGCTCCCCCGCTTCCCTTCTCTTGAGCTGCTCCGGCAGGAGAGCACTTGCAGCAGTCCTGTCTCGGGCTCTGCCTCTAGGCCACGCACCCGAGGAAAGCACTTCCCACTAAGGCTTGCACAGAGTGAGGGCTCCTAACGTTAAGTTTCTTCATCATTTGTGGAGACTCCTTGGGGTTCTACACAATCCTCACCACCGTGGGGAAAGTGAAAACAGGCTTGCTGGCCACCGGCCAGCGGAAGGCCCCCGTTACACACATCTACGACAGAGCACAGTCATAGCAGACACCGTCAGCTGACAACGTCTGACGTCCCCTTGGCTGAGACATTTTGTTCTCGCGCCTGTAAACCCTGCCCCTGACTTTCCAGGGCGCGCTTGTCTTTCTTGCGTACTCAGCCTGCCACCGAGGGGTAAAGACGGTCTCCTTCCTAGGGACACTCAGCCTGCCGTGGCAGAGTAAAGCTGTGTCTCATCCTCCTTCGGCTCCACAATTTTCCTTCGGTCTCTCTGCACCCAGTGCAGACCTCCCCGGCCTTCATCGTTGGCATTACAACCATCATGCACGCAGATAATCACTATGCCCACCTTACCGAGCAGATGCATGAAGTCCAGAGAGGGCAAGTGAATCGGGCCAGGGAGCCAACAGAATTGTACCCCAAGGGCAGTCAGGCTTTTTGCTAAACAGCTCCCCACCCAGTCTTTGCATTTGCCATGTGAAAGACACAGGGCTCCCAGAAGGCTGCCTTAATCTCCTGACTTACTCTACCTGGCTGGGCCCCGGCAGCCTTCCCATTCCTGTCTTCTACTACTCTCCCTCTTAGCCACCACAGTCCAGCCGTGCTTTCTTTCTAATCCCCACACAAGCCAAGCTCCATCCCACCCCAGGGCCCTTGCACCTGTTCTTCCCTCTGCCTAGAATACTCTTCCCACCTGTCTTTCCAAGACAGGCTCCTTTTCACTCTGCTCTCAGTTCAAAGGTCACCTCCTCAGGGAGATCTTCCCTGATCTCAGCTCAGTCACTTACCTTCATATCAACTGCCCCGCACCCAGCAGCATCGAAGATTTTTCTCTGTGCTCATGTATGCATTTAGTGTCTGTCTCAGTCATCAGGCTGTGAGAGCAACAAAAGCAGGGCCCTCATTCTTGTTGGTCTTCCTGTATCCCAGCAATCCCAAGGACAGTGACTGGCACAAACTTCAGCCTCAGTAAATATTTGTTGGATAAACAAGACATTTAATGAATGATCTGTGACCCCATGTGCCGCTTTGGCCACCGTCTTTCCCCTCTTCGTCCAGGGGCCCTGCTCCAGGCAACCCACAACTTCAGAGGGCGCCATTCGCACAGCAACGTGAATCATTAGGAGGGGTTGGTGTTTCAAAAGTGCACAACCAGCCCTGGCTGGTTTGGCTTGGTGGTTAGAGCGTCGGCCCGAGACCTGAAGGGTCCTGGGTTCTATTCTGGCCAAGGGCACGTACCTCGATTGCAGGCTCCATCCCCAGGCCTGGTTGGGGTGCGTGCGGGAGGCAACCAATTGATGGATCTCTCTCACATCTGTGTTTCTCTCTCTCTCTCTCTCTCTCCCTTCTACTCTCTGAAAAGCAATGGAAAAAATACCGAGTGAGGATTTTAAAAAAAAGGTTCACAACCTATATAAATGTAGTGATGGCTCTGTTGCCATCTTTCCCTCCTCTCCACTTATTTATTCATTTACTCAATTGAAAATATCTACTGACAGTTAGTGGTGCAGAAACGTGGGAGATAAGAGAATACCTCTGTGCCTGTGTGGCAAATTTGAAACTTGCGAGCAAAATCAATATAGAATGTATAAAAATGTCAAAAACAATGTACCATAGCAAGTTACACATTCATTTCTCCTTCTCCCCTACTGTTCTCAGCCTTTCTTGTCACCCTTTGCAGCCTCTGCAGTCACTGACAGACACTCCTAATCCTTTCCTGTCTCCCTCCTACCCAGTGGGCTAGAGCTGGTCTGTAGATGCCTGCAAACCCGATTGTTAAATATTTAGGGATTTGGCAAGGTGGTTGTCAAACTGTCCATGGCTTCAAAATCGGACGTGGCGTGAGTGTTTGCACCACAGTAATGGGCCAACATAATGAGGCAGGGTTTGTTGATGCTGTTTTTCTGAAAAGCTGGTTTTCTAGCACACCACTGTTCCCATGTTTCTAGCAGAGAAACTTTGCTTAGTCAAGGAATATTCTAGTTCTTCCATAGCCATCAGTCTCCCCCTGCCACACCTCAGCTCCCCCCTGGGCAGCAGGGACTAGAGACTCTAGGCCTGTGTTGTGTTGGGAGGGGAGAGAACAAGAGAGGGAGAAGAGAAAGCTTGAGGGAAGGTCCTGAAAAGGATATAAGGAGGAAAGCAATATTAAAAGGAAAGAGAGAGAAAAGACAAGTAGGAATCTGTGGGGGGCACAGGTTAGGGTAGAAAAACCATAGGAACCAGCTGAGACCCACCACACAATGTCCTCACAGGAAGTTGAGCTGTTTCCCCACCTGGGGCCAAAAGGTGGCCAGGTTACCATGAGAAAAGAGGAAACTACCTTCACAAACTACCCAGGAAGAGGGTGGGGATGGGGATCCGCACAGCTGGGCTAAGGAGCAAAGAGGGCTGAGGATCTGCACTAATGGGGATGCCTCCGTTTTTAACTGTAGAGGGGTCTGGGAACCTGGACTACTGGGTCCAAGGGGGGGGAGGGGGAAGGCTGGACTCTTGGGTCTGAGGAAAAAGGAAAGACTCAGGTTTCTTCTTTAGGCTGGTGAGACTCAGAGGGTGGGCCCAGGCCTTCTTTAGCAAGGCCCTCCACACCCCATCCATTTCCTAACTGCCTTGCGAGAGGAGACACATAAAAGGGCTCAGTTGCCTGGGGGAAGAGCAGGAGCCAGAGAGTTCTAGCTGCCCTGACCATGAGCCCTGCCCTGCTGTCAGTTTTCCTGGGCCTCACCTTCATGCTGCCCCGTGAGTGAAAACCCCAATTTGGGAGGGAATTTCCCTGAAAACCCCAACTTGGGAGGGAATTTCCCAGGAGGATGGGCTAAGATGGATTTGCTGTTCCCATCTCAGGAGCGCAGACCCTGACCTGTCATGCAGGAATACTGCAGACTGTGAAGACAGTATCAGAACTGCCCATGCAGTGGACAGCTGGCAATGAGTCCTGCAGGGCTGGCTGGGGTTGCCAAGATACGCTGATGCTCATTGAGAACGGTGAGAAAGGCCCCATAGGCCCCAAGCCTGACTCCTCCCCTCACCTGTGCAGGGATATTTCTCCTCCTGACTAGTCCTGCCTGCCTTCTGTGTGGAGACTCAAAAGACTCCCTCCCCTCAGACCAGCTGTCCCCTCCTCAGCAGGAGCAAGCCCCCCGGTGCCCAGTTGCCTCCTCCCCAGCTTCTCACCCCAGCCATGCAAGGCAGACCCTCCCTCTAGGACCCTGGAGTCCTGATCCTCACCCTGCCTGCCTCCCTCTGTCATCTAGGACCCCAGGTGTTCCTCCTGCTCATCAAGGGCTGTACCCAGAAGGAAGATCATGAGGTCCGTGTCACCCAGCACAGGGAAGGCCCTGGCCTTTCAGTCGTCTCCTACACCCATGTGTGTCGCCACAAGGACTTCTGCAATGACCTGTCCACCACCCTCCCAATCTGGGCCCTGCCCGCCTCTGTAGGTGCGGACAAGGAGGGAGGGGACGTGGACTTGGGGAGGAGGGGAGCACAGAGGGACTGTTCACTGAGGACCCCTTCCTCCCACCCAGCCTGCCCACTCTCCCCAGGACTCCCTCTTTGGCACAGCTTCTTCTAAGAGTCCTGGGGTAGCAAACTGGACTGCTCAAGTTCAACCCCCACCTCAGACTCTGGCGATGCCCAAAACCTGGGCCATGCCCCCTTTCCTCTACTGTTGGGCTCTGTCCACTCATGTTTCATTTAGGGTTTTGGTGTTGCCTCATCCAAAGTGAAACTGGCCTGTAACTCCCCACTGTCCTGTGTATCATACACCGGGCTTGGGGGATGCTTTGCATTTTTCTGCGCTTTGGGGCATCCTGTCTGCTCAGACTGTGTAGTGGAAGTTGCGGGTGAATTCTGCATGGTTCCTCCCAGGCACCCCTCCTGTCTCAGTCCCTGGTGCCCCTCCCAGGTCTCATGTCCCCCAACTGTACTCTCCCCAACATGACCCCAATTTCCTGCACCCCAGGCCTACCTGAAGGAAACATGAGGGGAGGGCAAGCCTGGGGAGGCCGAGCAGGTGATTCTGGGGCCACAAAGGTGAGGAGGCTGGAAGGCACCTGATGCAAATGCAGAGCCTGCCCAGTCCTCCCCTCCCCTTCTCCCCCAGTCCCAGGGTCCATGACGTGCCCGGTCTGCTTTTCCGTGAATGACTGTGGATCTGCAACAGAGCTGACCTGCCCCAGTGGGCACAATCACTGCTACAATGGGGTCCTCCAGCTCAGGGGAGGTGAGCTGGGACATCGGGGTCCCTGCTGGCACTGAGGGTAGCTGAGGCCTGGGGCTTGGAGGAGGGCGGGCAAGGCTCCTCAGGGTTAGATGGTCCCAGTGGCAGCATCTTACTCTCTCCCACTCTGCCTGGCCCCTTCCACAGGAGACATCAACACCAATCTGATAGTCCAGGGATGCATGTCCGAAGCAGCCTGCAACCTGCTTAATGAGACTCGGGAAATCGGGAAACTGTCTGTGAGTGAAAACTGTGGTTCTGATGGTGAGTCCCACACCCGGAAGGCGAGGTTGTGCCCTGCCCTGCAGCCTTGGGGTACAATGTTTTCAAGAAGGGCTCCTAGGCTCTGCCTCAGAAGGTCACAGCAAGAGCATGGGGTGTAGCTGGGTCTGGGGGGAGGGGCTGATGGCTAGTTTTTCAGGTAGACAAGGCGGGTGTGGGTAACCTCAGAAGGGCTACTCCAAGCAGAAGGAACAGTGGTGCAAGGCCAAGGAGGCAGGAAATGACCTGCTGTGTCTTGGGAACAGATATTGGTGGGGAAGTGAAGAGGGAGATTGGGGGGCCTGGTGGTGGGTCAAGTAGCCAGACTGAGGGCTTCACCTTTCTCCTGAGGCCACGGGAGCCAGGGAGGGGTGTTGCACACGGAGGGACAGTCTGAGTCTCTCCTTTTGATTAATTCTGTTTAATTGTCCAACCCTCATCTCTGGGACTAGGTGACATTCATCATCCAGAAGGCATTCCTGAAACAAATCCAATGTAACCCATGCCACACACCATACCACACAAACACACAGCACATGATACACACAGCACACATAACCACACTTGCCATGCCACATGCATACCACACACCACACACCACATGCCTCCTTACACCGGACACACACCACAAACCTCATACACACACACCACACACCACATAGCACATGCCACATACATCACAAACAAAACACAGACACAGAACTCATACCATGCTGTGCCTGCACAGCAAACACATACCACATACATCATAAACACATACCACACATCACATGCCACACACAAAACACACACACCAATCATATACACATCATACTCCATACACCCAACACATACACTTCCCCACATACCATACACACAAATGACACATGAAACTGAGCAACTAAGCCACAAATGAATACTCCTAATACATAAACTTTGTTTTAACATTGGAGTCAGATTTTGGGGGACGCGTCTGCCTTCCCTGGTTCAGTTCAGTTCAGCAGTTTAACAAATATTTATTGAGCAACGGCAAGACCAGGTGTTGGAAGCTGGGGAACAACATGATGTTACGGAGAGAGAAGGCCATTGCAGGGTGACAGGCAGCTCCTAGAAAGACCTGGGGCTGAAAGACAGCTGGTTGCAAGGGCACATTTTGCCCAAACAGGCAGGCCATGGCAGGAGCCCACTGAAGTAGAACCCAAGAGCTGGAGTGTAATGGCCTTGACTGTCTTGCTGCAAGGAACTGGACAGTGGTCCCAGTGAGAACGGTGGGTGAGCACAGTCAGGGAGAGCACAGCAGTTAAGAGTCTAATTAGTGTCTGAGTCTGAGAGAGTTGGGTTCATGTCTGGGTTCTGCCATTGAAGCAGCTTTGGCGATCACTACCTCTTTGAGCGCCTTTCACCAAATTCAAGGATGACTGGGTGATTCCAGACAGTTGGGAGCAAAGGAGCACATGCAAAGGCCCTGGGGTGGGTGGGTGCCTGCTGCATGTTCAAGGAAGAGCCCGGAGGCCAGTGTGGCTCCAAGCAATGTGTTCTAAAAAGAGCAGAGCAGGTCATATGGACAGAGTGGCAGGGCCTTTGGGGCCATTTTAAGGACTTAGAATTTTATTCTGAGTGGGGTGGGGAACTCTTAAATCTTCTGAGCAGAGGAGTGACATGAATCAACTTACCTTTTATGAGGATCCTTCTGGCTTCTGGGTAACGACTAGATAAGGGGAAGGTGGGAGTGGGGGACAGGACCCCCAAGGAGACTCAGGAGAAAGTAGGTGAGTCTTGGCCCCTGATGGAAGCAGCAGAGGGGATGAGAAGTGGTCAGGTTCTAGAGGTATTTTGCAGCATAGGCCAACAGGATATCCTGACGGATGCAACATGGGGTGTAAGACATAGAGAATTGCTAAGAATGACAGCAATGTTCTCAACTTGAACAACTGCAAGACAGGAGCTATTATTGACCAAGACATGGAAGGTGGGGGCAGGGAAAGCGGGTGACCAGGCTGGGAGAAGGGAAGCAGGAGCCATGATATTGTGGTCTGTGAAGCGGGGAAATAGAGGCACTCCTTCGTGGGGCTGTTTTGAAGGTTACCCATGTTGATGGATGCTGAGTCATCGGCCCAGGAATTTCTATATCATGGGTCACATCCCTGCTGGTGATGTGATGGCCTTAAGTGAAGGTCTAGGCTCCTAGTTTTCAGATTGGACTCCTGAGGGCCTCAGAGGCCAAGGTAGCTGAGGACGGTCATCAATGGCCATCTTCCCCACCACTCAGCTCAAGGAGCCCAGCTCTGCTAATTGCTAGCTGTGGGACACTGGGAAAGCCACTTCATAATTCTTCTGCCTGTTTTCCATCTTGACAATGGGGAGAAGGAGGATAACACCACCTATTTTGGGGGTCACTGTGAGAAAATGAGGTAATTCGGATGAGGGAGCTCCTTGGGAAACTTAAATGGGCTAATCCATAGAAAGTAATCACAACACCCTGGCACACAGTGAATGCTCAGTACACACTAGGTGTTGGAGTCATTTTGTTTGGAACATAGGGTTTCTCAGTTAAAAGAATGTAAGATGTCAGCCTATACTCCTCATTACCCTAGACTGGGAGCCTTGAGGACAGGGCCTGGGTGTAGCCTGAGGCAATGCAAGGACTGGCTCAGGATGGGAAGTGAGTTTGCACAGGATTCCTAGGTGTCCAGGGGAGACTCCAGAGGACTCCGACCCATCATCTTTTTTACACCCCAAGTGAAGGGCAGCCTTCAAGGGCTGTTGAGAAAAGTCCCTGCAGATGCTGGAGCGGAAGTGGTGATGTATAGAATAGGGGTGGGGCTCAGACTTCAAAGGTCCCTTCTAAACCTGAGATTGAGGGACTGTGTCCAGGTTACCTGGAGTATGACTCAAGAATGTAACCACCTTCCCAAGCACGAGATCTGGAGGGACAGACATGGTTTGTCCCCGGCCTTACACGGACCCTGGTAATTTCTTCTCCCCAGGTTTTCTGATCTGTCAGTGGGGGATCATGATAAATGTTAAAGAAAACCTGAGTCAGGACCCCGAGCAATGGAATAGAATCACAACCGTGAAATGTGGTCCGAAGGAGGTGTGTCAGGAGACACTTCTGCTCATAGATGTAGGTGCGTGGGCTGTGCAAAGGGGCGGGCTATCAGCATGGCGTCCTGGGTCTCCTGCCCTGGATTCTGTCCTCTGAGCCTCCTGCCTGATTCCCCCCAGGCCTGGAGTTCTGCACCTCACCCTTCCTCTTTCCGCACCCTGGTTTCCACTTCTGAAAAATGGGGGCAAGGTGCTGGCAGTAACAGTACTTACTATGCTGGGTAGTCATGGGGATATATTTGATGGGCCATGCAAAGGTCTGAGAACAGAGCTGATGCGCAGTAACATTGGTGACTTCGTCTGAGCCTTACTGAGCACCTGTCATGTGCCAGGCTCTGTAGATGCCACTGGGTCTGTCTTCCTACAGTTTTACGCGCCAGTGAGGAAGCAGAAAACCCTGCAGGGAAAGGAGACAGGGGGAGTTAGCTGAAGGTTGCAATTTGAAAAATGGGAGGCTCCACTGAGGTGACATTTGAGCAAGAACTGAGAGGTGACCGAGCTGGTGGGAGGACCCAGGCTCAGGCTCATCCTTGCCCCACCTGCAATGACCTGTGATGTTGTACTCAGGGAACCTACTTACACCCTCTGCCTGCTAAGCACCCAGGAATCGCTGGCTCCTGTCTCCCTCGGAACTACACCCCCCCCAGCCCAGCTGTCACTCTCTCCCCACCACTACCACAGGACCTAAATCACTCATATTGGGGAGCAAAGGCTGCAGCAATACTGAGACACAGAATTCCAAGACTGTCTCCATCCACTCGGGGCCCCCCGGAGTGCTCGTCGCCTCCTATGCCCATTTCTGCTCCTCCAACCTGTGCAACAGGGCCAACAGTAGCAGTGTCCTGCTGAACTCCCTCCCTCGTCCAGGTATGGGAGCCTAGAGGAATGGGGGAGACCAGGGACATGAGAGATGGGGACCCGGAGACACAAAGACTCTGGGCTCCAGGAGGGTTACTGCAGCTGGGAGCAAAGCTGTGCACCCCAACCTTCTCTTTGTTCCCCAGCTGTCCCTGTCCCAGGAGACCTGCAGTGTCCTGCCTGTGTGCAATTAGGTCAACCCTGTACATCCTTTAAAAACGTCTCATGCCCTACTGGCACCACTCATTGTTATAAAGGTCACATCAATGTCAGAGGAGGTGAGTGCAGAAGGACAGGTCCCAAAGATGAAAGGATTGGGGGCTTGGATTCACTGGTGCTGCGGTGGGAGGGTGCTTGAGGCCCTCGCTCATGGGCTTGAGGTTGGAAGGGGATGGGGAACTCAGATTTCTAGATCTGAGGGTGGAGAGGCCTAAGAGCCTGATCTCTGGATCTGAGGAGGGCAGTGGTAGGGCCTGGGATTCCTGGGTCTTAGGGATTTAAGTATGTACTACTCTGAGACCCCTCTGAGTCTGTCTTCACTCTCTAGGTGGGCTGACCACCCCACTTAGCATTCAGGGCTGCATGCCCCATCCTTCCAGCTCCTTGTTGAACCACACCAAAAATATTGGGCAGTTCATCGCAGACGAGGACTCTGAGAACAGTGATCACCAAAGGGGACGTGGGAATAATAATCTCCAAAGTGGGGCTGCTCCTGCCCCCAACCTGGCTTGGGTGGTGGTGCTGGGGCTATCCCTAGCCCTTTCCTTTGGGATGACCTCCCTGCTGACTCCATTGCCCCATGATTTTTCTCCCCTGCTGACCCCCTAAATCCAACCCTCCCTCTGACGTCATAACCAAACACTGAGTTGTTTTCCCATCTTCTCCATGAATTCTCATCCACACCCACACACTTTATAACCTGGTAAGATATGGAAGGGACTGGGAGCAGCCTCACTGGTCCTATGCCACGTGTACCTGATAAATAAAGACATCATCTTTTTTCCCAGTGCTGGGGTTTCTCTATGGGAGGGGAGGGCAGGACACCCAGTGACCTGATGTGGGGGAGGAGAGGAAGCTGGTGAAAGGTTCACCATCTCGAGGCCATCCTTCTTGGGTCTGGTGCACATCTCTGCTCCAGCTGGGTGGTAGCAGAGCTCAGGGAGCTGTGGCCACGGGTATTTGGGCATTGCTGTGACTTGGGAGGTGAAAGTACACTTTGACCAATGAGGCATCTACTTAGGAGTCAGGTTCCCTGCGCAAACAGGGGCTTCATCCCACTCGAATCACTTGACATACAGATTTGTGTGAAATGAGAGACAAGAGGGTATGCACAGTGTCCTGAGGCTGGCGTCATAGGATCTGTCACCATCCTAGGCCTGAAAGACTACGGAGAACTCATTACCATCACTAGAATCCAGAGAGAGGGTGGCAGGAGGTTTAGAGAGAGCTGCCTGGCAGGAGCTCTGGTCTCAGGCTAAGTCATCTGTCCAGCCCCCAGCAACACTACAGAGAAGGAGCTGTGGAACTGGACGCCCAACCTCACTCAGTGTCCGCCCTCTGATCTCCTATTGGGGCTCCCCATTGACTGCACCCAGCTGGAAGGCAGGAGATCCCCATAGATTCACCCCCAACAGTGCAGCATAGTGGGAGAAGGGGAGAGAGTGTCTCTGAAAGGAAACTAAGTGTCCTGACAGCCCACCCTTCTCCTCACCTCCACCCCTTCCTTTGTCCAGGTGGGAATCAGAGTCTTCAATATGGAAGACACACAATTCCCATTCCTTCCTTAATCATGGTGACATGGTGTGCTAATGACAATAAAGCCAGTCTCCCCCAGCATTCGAGGACCAGTTCTTCATCTCCCTCCCCATGAGAAGAAGGTGGGGGGAAGCTGCCAAGGCCCCAGGTGTGTAATCAGAGCTGCCTCCTTCCACCACCCATTCCATATTCTCTCCCCACCAGCCAACACCTCCTCCAGGCAATGGTTGTGTGAGGCAAATCTTCATTCTTGTGGGGAGTGAGTGTTTGGTGGTCTTGTCTCTATTAAGTTTCTGCCATTCTCCTGACTCCCAAACATGGTCCTCCTTCACTGAGCAACCCAATCTCCCTCTGGTAGTCATGTTCTGTCTGGCCATCAGCAGAACAGCCCTCTTCTTTCTCCATTTCAACACCAAGAGGAACACAGAATGGCCAGGGGGCGGTGGTGACTCCCAAGTGATTAGAGCTGTGATGGGATTCCTCACCCACACTAACATAAACCTGGTTCGAGTGCTCTCCCTTCTGTTAATAGGTCACCAGGAATCCCCATGAGCCCATGAGTGTGGGTGGAGAAAGGGGCAGGAGGAATAGGTGCCATGGGTGACTGATCCACCCACTGGGGTGTTCACCTGTGCCCTCCATTCTTGCTTGAGCAGGATCCCATACACACCTGTTTCATGGATAATGAACGATGCTGTACATGTCCAATGTCATGCTTTGGTGACTCAGACAGCACCCAGTATGAGTTCAGATCACAATACCCTTGATGTCCCGTGGTCAGGAATTCAGTCTCTACTGGAATCCAGGAATGAGTTAGGAGCTGCTCTCCAAATGGAAGATTGTTATCTGCAGAAGAGACATAGGTTTGCTCCAAACCTCTGAGGTTCTGCCCTACTATTATCCTTATTGTCTCTTTATGTCACAGAAACTTTCAGTGGTATTGGGTCTGTTGCATCTTATGGCCTGAGGTTCAGGACACCTGGGTTTCCAGTCTGAACCTTCATCAGACTCTTTTCCTGCTGGGTCATCTTACAGGTTCCTTCATAAGTGAGCAGGAGCAGCATGTCAAAATGTACTATATCCCCCCCCAAAAAAAAAAATTCTAAGAAGCCTATCTCTTAGTAGGATATTTTCTGATATATCTCCTTGGGCAAAAGAAACAAAAGAAAAAATAAACAAATGGTCTATAGCAAACTGAAAAGTGTTTGCACAACAAAGAAAAACAACAAAATGAAGAGACAACCCACTGAACCGGAGCACATATTCTTCAATGATGCATCTGAGAAGGGCTTAGTATCCAAAATTTGTAAAAAGCTCATGCAACTCAACACACACAAATAAATCCTATTAAAATGGACAAAGGACCTGAATAGATACTTTTCCAAAGAGGACACACAGCTGTCCAAAAGACATATGAAAAGATGCTCAACATCACTAATCATCAGAAAATTAAAACCACCAGGAGGTGCCACCCCACACCTGTCAGAAAAGCTATCATTGATAAATCAACAAACAACACATGTTGGCGAGGATGTGGAGCAAAAGGAGCCCTTGTGAACTGTTGGTGTGAATGCAGATTAGTGAAGTCACCATAAAAATCAGTATGGGGTTGATTAAAAATAGGGCTGCCTTATGACCCAGTGATTCCACTTCTGGGTATATATCTGAAGAAACCCAAACTCTATTTTGAAAGAATACATGTTTATTGCAGAGTTATCTACAATAGCCAAGATATGGAAGCAAACAAAGTGCCCATCAATAGATGAGTGGATAAAAAAGTTATAGTACATGTACACATCTGTACAATGGAATACTGCTCAGCCATAAGAGAATCAAATCTCACCATTTGTGACAGATCTGAAGGACACAGAGGGCATTATACCAAGTAAAATAAGCCTGGCAGAAAAAGACAAATACCACATGATTTCAAATACCATTTGTTGAATCTAAAGAACAATATAAACAAAACAGAATGAGACTCACAGACACAGAGAACAGACTGATGGCTGCCAGAGGCGCGGGGCTGGGGGCTGGGTGGAAAAGGCGAAGGCATTCACATTGGCAGTTACAAAATCGTCATGGGGATGCCAAGTAAGCGTAGGAAATAGAGTCAGTAATATGGTAAGAACTATGCATGGTGCCAGGTGGGTGCTGGAAATATCCAAGGGGACACTTTGTAAAGAACACAATTGTCTCACCACTATGCCGTACACCTGAGACTCACACACAATAGTGTTGAAAATAAACTGCATCGAGAAAGAAAGACCTTGGTTTGCTCATCTCTACAGAGCACACAGCTGTGCTTCAGGCAGGGCTCCCAGGCCTCTCTAGAACTCTCTGCTCTGAGGTCACAAGGACAGAGGCAGATTCCAGAACCCACGGTTGGGCCGGTTCTCACTCTGCACATTGGCAGCAATGACTAAAAAGCCCTTCTGTTTTCCTACTGTCCCCAGCCCACCCTCGCCCCCTCCCGCTTCCCCTGCCTCTCCCTCCTCACTGGGTTTCCCCCACTGCCTTTGGGAGGCCCCCACTCTGGGCCCTCGGCCTGGCCTTGCCCCTGCCCCCCCACCTTGCCAAACCAAGTTCCCACCTCTCACCAGCGGGCACCCTCCTCACTTGGGAGCCCGAAAGGCCTACAGCCTCCACAGGCCCCCTGGGGTCCCCTGCCGCCCCTGCCCTGCCAGTCCCCCTTCCCCTCCTTCCCTCCGCCCTGTCCACCTGGCCTCCCTCTCTGCCCTTCACTCTTCCTTTGCCCCGCACCCCCCTCCTGGACCTTCTCTGGCCTCCAGATGCCTGGGCAGCCGGTTCACCTGCCCATCCTCTCCCCCTTCCCAGTCACCTCCTCCCACCGTCTCCCCTCTCTTGGGACATCCTGCAAACTGTCCCCGGGACCTGGAGTCCCTGTCAGTGGGAACCTGGACCTCTCGATGCTTCATGAGTCGGGCACCTGCTGGGCACAGGGAACAGAACATGGTGGGCAGCAGCTACAGGTAATCCTGGTGGGCCCTCCAGCGCTCCAGGAAGCCCCATCTCCACAGTGAGTTCTCTGCCATCTGGGCATCTCGCCTGAGTCACCAGGTGGATGTCCCTCCTGGGGACTGATCCACAGGCCAAAGGAAATGTAACAAGTTCCTGTGCATCCACACGTGGGCCCCTCCAGGCTCTCTGAGCTGCCATTAGAAAGGGGTGGCTGGACCTGGACTCAGGGCATCTTTCCCTGCAGGCCGCTTTCCCTCCACGTGGCCAGGCACAGTCCCCTCATTCAGAAGGAGGCACTGTGCCCTGTGCCTGGTACAAACCCCACTCCCAAACCAGCCTCCCCAGGAGACAGTGACTAGGGGCCCTCTGGCAAAGCAAAGACTGCCTGGGTGTGGGGGACAGTGGCAGTGGGAGGAGGTGGAGCCCTGCTGTGGTACTGGGGCCTGGAGGCTGGGGAGGCCTGGGACCCCTCTGGGGGAAAGTGCCCTGTTCGCTGTGGTCCTGGGCACTCAGAGGGCAGTTGCTGAGCTCTGCAGTTGGCTGAGCAACAGTGTAGCTGGGTCAGGACTGTGTTTCCACAGCCTCCGCGGGACAGCTGTAGGCTTCTGGGGGGGGTGGGAGAAAGCTGCAGCTGGAGGTGAGAGCTGTTGGAGGGGCCTCTCTGAGGCCTCAGGACCTCCACACCCTCCTTCCTCCCCTCCCTGTAGGCCCCGGGGCAGCCAGGGCTACTCCCGCTTCCCAATCGTGACAGAAGCAAGAGAAGGCCAGACTGGCCAGAAATGGGGGAACCCACGTCTAAACTCTTCTGCCTGCCCAGCTGGGTCAAACAGCTCGAGATTGGACCCCCGAAAATCAGCAGCTCGTTCCCTTCTTCCCCTTCAAAAGGTGAGTCTTGGGAGTGCTGAGTGTGGGGAGGGGGACCCCTGAAGACTCAACAAACCACACAGCTGCGTGCCCTTCTGAGGGGGCATATCCTGGGCTGGCCTTCCTGGCCACAGTCTGGGGTGCTCAGGGTCCAGACTTGTACTTTCTTTTGGCCCCTGCAAACACCTGTCTTGATAACCGCCTTCCTGCTGGGTGAAGTCATGCTCTTA